CCCCAAAACCCCAAAACCCCAAAACCCCTCACAAATTTCCAAACTGAACTATCCCAAACTTAAAATCTCCCTCTAAACCACCATCTGGTTCTGATACCCATATGGCCCAGCCACCACTGGAGGTCTTACCGGAGGTAACCCTCCTGGGTGGCCTACTGTGTAAGCATTCCTACAAGTCAAGCTTAAGCTTACACTGGGGCTAAGGAAGGATCAGCGTACTGTGCAGGGGCAGCTGGAGGGTCTGCCTGGGTGTAGACTGGGTCTGGCTGGGCTGTGGGTTAAGAAGGAAGTGTACCTAGGTGGGAGGAGGTGGTGTGGTGAGGGTGGGCAGGTGCAGGTGCAGGTGCAGGATGGGGAGTTTGGTCAGCAGATCGGATGTGGTCGTCGGCGACTGTAGAAGAGGTAGGTGAAGATGAGGAAGAAGGGTTTACTTACCCGCATGGTTCTTAATAATCATTCCTCTATTCTTAGAATTCCATCAACAAAAGATCACCAGTCCAATCCCTCCACTAACCAGCAGTGCAACCGAAATTCCTATAATAATCCTCACTGTCGTTGATAACCTATACTACAAACCTCAACTTACGTTTCAGGCTCCCCATTTGGCTTAAGAGTCAGGGAGAACTCGTTCTGACTCCTTGTAGGTTCAATAGTAATGTACAGGTCAGTGGAAGGGCTGAAGGAGACTGTTTTTTGGTCTGGCTCTTGGAGGTTGGATTTTAGGGAGTAAGAGTTTGTGGTACGAGGGCCGGTGAATATTGTGAGATTAGTGGATGTGAGGGTTGCTATAAAGTATGGCTCCTAGTTAAAGTGATAGATCCATTAATCTCTAGTAAATAGCAGTGATAACTAATTCTCGTGCTTCAAATATTATCATAGACCTTCATCTTGAGTCATGATTGCATAAAACTGGTCAGGTATTCTTTCTTACTGAAAGTAAACAAACAGAAAAATCCTTATTCAAATAAGAATTTCTGTCTAATCTATTTGTTTACAAACCTCAAAGTAGGGAATGACAAATTTTCTTACGGAACAAACCTGAACAAAGTAGCCAAAAGCCAGGCTTAAAGAAGCATAATACGCTAACTCTGATAATCAAAGCTATAAATTTTAAGATACGCCTTCTTTTTTGAAAGAAAAATTCGGCTCATTTTTCAGAAATCATGGGTTCTTACTGATTTTAATATCAATGCTATTTATATTTGCATCATCTGTGTAGATCCTGTAAGAGCAAACTGAATTTGAGGTAATTGAAGATTTAGAAAGTTGGTATTCTTCACTTTTTCGGTCTAAGGAATAGCTTTTAGATCCACAATCAGCAGTGTCAACTGGGCACAGAATAAGTCCTCCATTACCCTCGATTTTGCTATCATTTGATCAAACATAGCTAAACAGGTTAATAATTAATACTTCTGATCGCTTGCTCAATAACCTGAGGTATCTCCTGAGTTACAGCATTCTCCATTTGTCTGTTCATTTCCAGTCGTTGCTCACCATCTCTGAGCCGAGTTACTGACTCAAGATCTTCACTCAGAAGCACTGGAAGATACAAGGTTTCTTTCTTGCTCTAGCATTATTGAGGCTCAGAAGCCGATCAATATTATTACAATAAAAGTTTTGATTAGCATTTTACTCGTTTATTATTTCAATCTCTGAGAGCTCTTATGGGGTTTTGGGGTTTTGGGGTTTTGGGGTTTTGGGGTTTTGGGG